AAGACTTCAAAACTATGAAATAACACATGTAGTAACCAAAAAAGTGTTAAACAAATCAAAATATATTTTATATTTGAGATTCTTCAAATAGCCACCCTTTGCCTTGATGACAGCTTTGCACACTCTTGGCATTCTCTCAACCAGCTTCATGAGGTAGTCACCTGGAATGCATTTCAATTAACAGGTGTGCCTTCTTAAAAGTTAATTTGTGGAATTTCTTTCCTTAATGCGTTTGTGCCAATCAGTTGTGTTGTGTTGTGACAAGGTAGGGGGGGTATACAGAAGATAGCCCTATTTGGTAAAAGACCTAGTCCACATTATGGCAAGAAAAGCTCCAATAAGCAAAGAGAAACGACAGTCCATCATTACTTTAAGACATGAAGGTCAGTCAATACGGAACATTTCAAGAACTTTGAACGTTTCTTCAAGTGCAGTCGCAAAAACATCAAGCGCTTTGATGAAACTGGCTCTCATGAGGACTGCCACAGGAATGGAAGACCCAGAGTTACCTCTGCTGCAGAGGATAAGTTCATTAGAGTTACCAGCCTCAGAAATTGCAGCCTAAATAAATGCTTCAGAGTTCAAGTCACAGACACATCTCAACATCAACTGTTCAGAGGGGACTCTGTGAATCAGGCCTTCATGGTCGAATTGCTGCAAAGAAGCCACTACTAAAGAGGGGACTGTGTGAATCAGGCCTTCATGGTCGAATTGCTGCAAAGAAACCACTACTAAAGGACACCAATAAGAAGAAGAGACCTGCTTGGGCCAAGAAACACGAGCAATGGACATTAGACCGGTGGAAATGTGTCCTTTGGTCTGGAGTCCAAATTTGATATTTTTGGTTCCAACCGCCGTTTCTTTGTGAGACGTGATGTGGGTGAACGGTTGATCTCCGCATGTGTGGTTCCCACTGTGAAGCATGGAGGAGGAGGTGTGATGTCAGTAGTAGTTTCTTTGCTGCAATTATCAAATCAAATCAAATTGTATTTGCCACATGCGCCGAATACAACAGGTGTAGCTTACTTACAAGCCCTTAACCAACAATGCAGTTTTTTAAAGAAAACTGTAAAATAAAGTGTTAATTAAGAAAAATAAAAGCAAATAACTATAGCAGTAGGGAGGCTATATACAGGGGGGTACCGGTACAGAGTCAATGTGCGGGGGCACCGGCTAGTCAAGGTAATTGAGGTGGGTAGAGTTAAAGTGACTATACATAAATAGTCAACAGAGTAGCAGCAGCGTAAAGGAGGGGGATGGGGGGGGCAGTGTAAATAGTCCGGGTAGCCATGGCTTGGGGGTAGAAGCTGTTGAGAAGCCTTTTGGACCTAGACTTGGCGCTCCGGTACCGCTTGCTGTGCAGTAGCAGAGAGAACAGTCTATGACTAGGGTGGCTTGAGTCTTTGACAATTTTTAGGGCCTTCCTCTGACACCGCCTGGTATAGAGGTCCTGGAAGGAAGCTTGACCCCAGTGATGTACTGGGCCGTACGCACTACCCTCTGTAGAGCCTTGCAGTCGGGGGCCGAGCTGTTGCCATACCAGGCGGCGATGCAACCAGTCAGGATGCTCTCTGGTGCAGCTGTATAACTTTTTGAGGATCTGAGGACCCATGCCAAATCTTTTCAGTCTCCTGAGGGGGAATAGGTTTTGTCGTGCCCTCTTCACGACTGTCTTGGTGTGTTTGGACCATGATAGTTCGTTGGTGATGTGGACAACTAGGAACTTGAAGCTCTTAACCTGTTCCACTACAGTCCGTCGATGAGAATGGGGGCGTGCTCAGTCCACTTTTTTTTTCCCCCCTGTAGTCTACAATCATCTCCTTTGTCTTGATCACGTTGAGGGAGAGGTTGTTATCCTGGCACCACACGGCCAGGTCTCTGACCTCCTCCCTATAGGCTGTCTCATCGTTGTCGTTGATCAGGCCTACCACTGTTGTGTCGTCGGCAAACTTAATGATGGTGTTGGAGTCGTGCCTGGCCATGCAGTCATGGGTGAACAGGGAGTACAGGAGGGGACTGAGCACGCACCCCTGAGGGGCCCCCGTGTTGAGGATCAGTGTGGCAGATGTGTTGTTACCTACCCTTACCACCTGGGGGCGGCCCAGTAATTAATAGTAATTAACCCTTAGGATAGGGAGGGGAGGACATGTATGACAGCCAGGCACTTATATTTGCAATATAAGTAGTTATGAGCCAATGGGAATCTATTAGGCATTTATACAGTAATTTTTCTGCTTTATCTAATAAATGTGTTTATTCATTCACAACTAGGATGTTGCTGGGCCCAGCACAGGCATTGTGTTCCCCTGGTCTTCTGGTACCATTGCTGTGGGAATGGATGCTGAGCTTAGCAGAGACAGCTCAGGGGTGAATGCAGTGGAGGTAGGAATAAAAGAGAGACAGATGTATTGCCAGTTCCTTAATATGTTGGCTCTATATGTAATAGCAATTAACACTTAGGAGTGACAGACAGACCGAGAAGATGCAGAGACAGACTGCACAACAGGGAGGTAACAGAGGCACAGTTATAGTGGTGAGTTGTATCTCCAGTGGTACTTTTACATGTTGTATTTTGTCTTAAACATGAGCGAGTAAAAAAAACAAAAAAAACAGGAAGACTGTTTCACTGGTATAGTAAATGTTTAGAAATGCTGTACTAAACATGTGTATGTGACCAATAAAATTTGATTTGATACTATAGTGTACTGCAGCCATACTCAACTGGTGGACCCAGAACAGGGTCAATACAGACCGCGGGTCCCGACTTAAAAAACTCAGTCAGACTTTTAACTTGCTGCTGTTGAGAATTGTAATAGTACAATGCACAAGCATCAATTTCGAAATTAATTTGGTAGTGCATAGGCATATTTCCTCTTATGTCATTTACTGACAGACCCTAGAGCTATTTTTAACCTGACAGAAATGTCCAGTTCAATTACTGGACATAGCTGGTTAGCTATCTAAATATTGTAGTTGTCATTGCCAGATGACATGCCCAGGGACCTTGACCTCCAGGGGGCCCACATTGATTTTGTTGAGTCGCTCAGGTATCATAACACACACAAGACATGGCAAAATGTGTAGAATTGCAAGATATTTGCTTTAAAACTGAAAGGTTTTCTCTCCGCCCCATGGCAAAATGTGTAGAATTGCAAGAAATGAGCTTTAAAATGGCAACATTTCTAAAAAGGGGTGGGAACAGTTTGGTGTCGCTTCGTCGCGACGTGGGGGTTTGTTACTGAGACGATAAATGACAATATCCATCCGGACCTTTGCCATCTAAGAAATATGTGTGACCGGACCTTCTCAAATAGTAGTAGAGTACCCCTGGTGTACTGCCTATGTCATGTAGTATTACTGGCAGAGTGTGTAAGTGGCATTGGGGGGGTTAGAAATTCTTTGAAGTCATATATTGTGTGTATGAATGAATTTATACAGTTTAAATTCAAGACAAGCAACTAAGCTTCAGCCTAATCTTCAACACATGACATACTGTATGTGCATTATTAATGCATACTAACACACATTCGTGACTGAAGACATCTCGTACCGAGCAGATGCACAATAATGATTCAGTAGGCGGTGTGCCAACGTGTTCTTCTAAAACATGTTTTTATTCTGAGTGACTCAGAGGTCACAATTATCACTGTACACAACCATCCCCCATAGCCGGCAGGCCACCAAATAAAACATGCTGCACCCTCTAGTCTCCACATGCTGGGTGCCTTACGCAGTTAGCTCTACTCCAGACATAACAAAACCCCCCCTGGTACAGACAGTACACATTACAAAAATAGTTGCAGCACTGTCAAATTATAATCTCATGGCAAAAAAAATACACATTTGAGGTGTGGTCAAACCAGAGGCGTTGTTTGGCTAGGGTTTCAATGAACGTGTGTTTTAAGTCTCCAGGTGCCCCAATGCTGTTAAACATAGGTGCTCTCTTATGAGGATTTAGCATTGCAGAAGAACCCAGTAAGACAACCATGTAGGACCACTATGTACTCACAGTTATGGTGGCCTTGTCCCAAATCAACTCCTATAGCTCTAGACATTTCTTGATGAACCATTACAGATATGAAAGAAGGGGACATTAACACATGTGTAGGGTGTAGTGCCTTGGGGTTGATTTGGGACAGGAGGATTGTGTCCATAGATTAAATAGACATCCTCTATAGACGCACAATCACCGGTCACGTTCATTAGACAGAACACTCCAAAACGTTTTAATGCGTTTCAGCCTGTTCCTTTGAACGTTTCCCGTGCACATATGTTCAATTGAGCACCGTATTCGCGTAAATAAAAATATATGTATCTCCTGTGTGGAGATGGCAAAGATGATCATTGTCCATTCTACATGGATACAGTTATTTGCCTTAAAGGGTTATGGTTAGTAATGGACACAGCCATTTTTCTACCGATAATCTCCAGGCCATAGATACAGTCCTCCATAGACAGGTCATGTTTTTTGCAGCTGCACAGTGCCTGGAGAAGGATTTACATCTCAGGAACCACATAAGTATGATATAGGAATCTTCTGAACTATGCAGCCACCACTACTGCCAAGAAGATAAACCTGGAATGTAGCCATTTTCGTTTTTCCACCCTAGTCTGCTGTCATTTGAAATTCTCCCTGGTTAAATAGATCGGTCATTTTGTCCCAAAGACACATTCACGTGTTGGTCTTCAAGGACCAGGGTGCGTCAGTCTTTTATTTCACCTCTCGTTGATGTCACCTTTTGACCTTTGCTCCATGCTCAACCCTCTAGGTCCTCTTTTCCCGAACTGTCTAGCTGTCTGTCCCCCTTATTCACTGTACAATTGAGGCAGATAGCTCAGAATTAAAGTCTGGTTTGTTTATAGAGTCTTCTCTCATTCTCTCGCAACTCCTCCCCGCCACCCTTCTCCCCCTCTTCTTTGTCCTCTGTCTCTCGCCCCACACCTTCCGCTTCTCCTCTCCTTCTCTCACTACTTCTCCAGGGTGTGGCGGCGGGTGGGTGTCACATGACGAGGCAGCGGGACTTCTTGAGTTTGCGTCGGCGCTGCTGATACTCGCTCAGCTCCTGCAGGTAGCCTCGGGATGGCCAGCGCAGTCTCTCCACCTGTTCCCGCTCCTCATCTGTCGACCGAGACAACAAAAACACAAGGTTGCCGGGACGATATCACCATGGCGACATCATGTCAACCGCACACACACACACAGTGCCAGTATTTATTTTTCTGTCATTGCCTAAACAAACATTTTAATATAGCCATCGAGCCCCCTGCATGTTCTGCCTGATACCCCTGTGCTTCCACCTGAGAACTGCATCAGTGTGAATAATCATGTGTAGTAGGCCTACTGTCTAGTCTTTGTATGGTGTATCTCTTCACTTATGCCCTTCCAGACCCGTCCATTTGACCTTATATATGCACTTGTGTACGATGACAACATTGTTAATGGAAATAAACCTGTTATAGATGATACTAAAAGTGCCATGTGTGCTTATTTAACCAGTGTGTGTCTTCTAAATCTGTCATAACCAGGGATCTAGTGGCTTGACAGGCTTTAGGAAAGGTAAACGCCAATTTAGCGTGGTAGGTTTGCAAGCCCTATTTACAAAATGGGAAGGACCTTGAATTTTTTTTTTTTTTTTTTTCATGCTTTAGAAATCCACTATTGCACCACATCTGCCCCCTTTCAGAATGTATATGTCTTCTACTTAATAATCTGCGCTATTATAACAGACAGTATGCCTACTGAATGTGTTTGCACTTCACCTGAACCCTTCATCATATGATATACAAAAAGCTGTTATTAAAAAGCCATTAGCTTTCACAGCTGGCATTAGCCTTAGCGTATGGTGACACTCATGCGGGTCCAATTGCTCAGTTGGTGGAAGCATGGGGCTTGCAACATCAATCTTACTTAGTCAGTAGCTTTGAGTTATCAATATGTCCTGTAATCTGCCAGATGGTTTCTCACCTGAGAGCTCCAGGAAGTCGGGCTTGTGGCTGAAGATTAGGTAGTTATTGGCTATGAAGTGGAGTAGCCATACATACAGCTGCTCTGCATTGTGGCACTGTGAGAGAGAAATACGGGGAGGGGAACAGTGACCACGTTTACATGCGCACAGTGTTCTTGATAGTAAGTAGCTCATCCAGCTTAAGGTCTTATTCGGGATAAGCTGTTTACATACACCTTTTGATATCCCGTTCACGAGTATCCCTGTATCGATGAATAAACAGAATATTCGTAATTTAAATGGCATAGTTACTGAAATATGGACACTGACTGTAGGCCTATAACCTCTGACATGTACCGTAATATAATATAAACTTCTGCAGAATTATGCCTTTCTTGCATTAAAATTATAGACATGTTAATTTTGTCTCGGGAACATGAGTGGAGAAATATGATTTCTTTCTTTCAGCATCTCTTGAGAAAATGCAAATGTGCTGTAATGTGTTATCTTTGACACTTATGCAAGCAGACAGTATTTCAACCGCATAAAATATGCACACAAGACCTACTGAAGTCTTATCAGAAACGTTTTTCATCGTTTTCTCAGCTTTTCATTCCCTTAAAACCGGTCAAACTGATGACATTTGGACATTTTGCACAGGAAACTTTCCACTGTTTTTGAGTTATTGCGTTTTCTCCCCGGTCCCTAAACGAAAGACAACTTTACCGGTGTTAACTAGATTACTAATTAACTATATCGACGTAAGACATTATTCTAATGAGCACTACTTTATTTTAGTCTCATAGGGCAACAAGTTATGACAGAAGAGAAGCTGCATGTATCTAACTATAGTTGACAAATAAATGGCCTACCAAATGTCGGAAATTATAAACAGAAACGTGTCTAAATTAGGGGTGAAAGTAGGCTATATGGTCCAGTACGGAGTATCAGCAAAATAAATTATTATGGTGGATCGAACTGCGCAGGTAGCCTACTTTTTGAAATGATTTGTTTGACAATCAGATGAAAACGTCACCGCACAACATCCATGATATGCGGAACTGAACCTGCGCAGACCTTGAAAAACAACAGGAAACGGGCTAACATGTTTACATGCCATAGGATCAAGTCTAAAATAGGCATAGCCCAGGCTTCTTATTCAGGTTTTTCATAACCGGGATTAAAAAAATGCAGGGTTATTGTAAACGGGATATGATGTTTATATGCATCAACTCAAAAACAGAATACTTGAGTATCCCGAATAATAACGGGATATTGGTGCGCATGTAAACGTGTGTCAGTGTCAGCTATTTGGGAAAATATGTACTGTGTAACGATTGAAGATGATGTATTCTGCCCTGTGTATTCTAAAAAGAGAGTGATATGGAGAAGGGAAGTCAGCTATTTGCAGCTTTTAAAATTGATTCTGCCTTATATTCTAACACCAACAATGACTTCCACATGGAAAGTGTAATTTTCCAACTGTGTGCAATGTGCATGCATGCTTATGCTCTCCTTGCCTCAAGAGCTTTTTAACCAATGGTTTGAAAGAGCTGTATAGGTGATACTATCATTATTTAATTATTTCTCTCTTTATTGGCATAGTTATAAACCTTGTTGAAACCTTGGGGTGCATCTCAATAGTCTGAAGTGTTTTCCTCTCCTTGTCTCATCTCTCTGGAAAGCGATGTGGTGGATGCTGCTGGAGTTAAGCTCGTGTGTCAGTGCAGATAAGGAATGGATACAAGCAGAGGAATATTATTTAGACCCATGGTCTTTGTCAGCTAAGGATAGACCCATGGTCTTCGTCAGCTAAGGACAGACCCATGGTCTTCATCAGCTAAAGAAAGACCCATGGTCTTCATCAGATAAGGAGAGACGCATGGTCTTCATCAGCTAAGGATAGACCCATGGTCTTCGTCAGATAAGGAGAGACCCATGGTCTTCGTCAGGTAGTGAAGGAAAGGAGGCCATTGAGGATTGTGGGAGCTAGCCACATACACAGAAGAGAGAACACATACACACTCTCTCTTGCTGAATACCAAATCCTTCCCCTAGGCCAGGGCTGTTCAACTCCGGTCCTGGGGGGCCAAAACACTTCTGGTTTTCATCCCTCCATCAGACCAGAGACTGATTCAGACCTGGGACACCATGTGAGTGTAATTCACTACCAGGTAAAAACATAAACCAGAAGGGATTTGGCCCTGCTCTAGGCACTCCTGTATATCTGAATATGGGTATGAGAATCTTCACCATATTGCTTACACCGATCCAATGTTTCAGATCTATAGGAGTGTGGAGAGGGTAAGGGGTCGGGGTCGATTTGGAATTGAGAATATATCTCTCACACACACACACTCACCTTAGCCCTGCGGAGAAGGCGGATCACACTGATGCCGGTTGATGCCAGCTCTCGGCTAGGCATGCTCTGGAGGTAGGCACACACACACACCTCACACAGGTGCTGTAGACGCTTCACCTGGTACATCTCTGCACAGACCATCACGGCCATGGCCTGCAATACACTGGCTGGACACACACACAGAGACACTGTCAAACATACTGGAGCTTCGTTTAGAAAATGATCATACTCATGCACATATTTGATTGTAAATTGTGGTTGAAATGCACACTGTTGTGATTTATAACACACGCACACCGTGGTCAAATGCCTCCATTTGCTGTACTGTCAATCATATCACATTACACAGCTGGGAAACATATACCAACCCCAAGATAACATCACAAACACACAAAGTCCCCCCTTCAAACAAATCGGCCTATGGTACTATCCATCATATCACAGTGTCCACTCCAATTGCTCTTGATCTTCCCCCAGCCTGTCAATCATTTTGGGGGAACTGTCAGTCATATCCCTCTGGGCCTTATGAGATACTGTTTGTCCCATCTGAGAGTGTAAATCCACCGCCATTAATTTCACAGCCTGTACTGAGCAGCATTGAGGACCCGAGGCTTGTTCACTGATAGGTTGCAGATAGAAATACAACGCATGGAACAGGCGGTTCTCATTCTATCCACGTGACAGAGGATTGTGTGTGCTCTATTTATTACATTTCTATCTGTTCAGCTGGGAGCGCAAGCTTTTGCTCCAGCCCTGCTGAATCACACCTGCTTCTAGGGAATCAGCTGCTCATAATAAGGACCTTCATTTGCTGAATCCAAGTGTTAGTTAGAGCAGGGTTTCCCAAACTTGGTCCTGGGCCCCTTCCTTGGTGCACGTTACATTTTCTGCCCTATTACTACCCAGCTGATTCAAACAACCAACTCATCAAGCTTGAAATCCTGAGTTAGAGCAGTGATTCCCAACTCCAGTCCTCGAGTACCCCCAACACACATTTTTGTTGTATCCCCGGACACAAAACACCTGATTCAACTCATTGAGGGCTCGATGATTAGTTGACAAGTTGAATCAGGTGTGCTTGTCCAGGGTGACAACAACAATCTATAATGTTAGGGGTATTCGAGGACTGGAGTTGGAAAACACTGAGTGAGATCAAGGCTGGAGCAAAAGCCTGCATACTCCTTAGCTGTCCAGGAGGAGGGTCAGCCACCCCTGGGCTGTGTGCGAAAAATGTTCTAGCCCTCAAATCCTTGCTTAATCCGTCCATGTTTCCTCCATTACTCACACTCCCCTCATAGCTCATTGGAGGAGAGGATCCACAGTCCCTCTCTCGGCCCTGCTCTTCCAATGAACTTAGAGAGTGAGGCGAGGAATTGAGGAAACAAGGGCGGAGGAAGCAAGGATTTGACACCTACCAGTAGTAATGTTTTCAGACACAGAAGTCTAAGGCCCACATCTACCCAGAAATGGGTGGGCCCCGGCCTATAATGTGCCTGTTTTTGTTACTGCACTGCAGTGGACCCACCGGGACAGCAGGTGTCAGTGTAAAGGTACTCCAGGAAGGAGAGGAAGGTGTCAGAGGAGACTCCGTGGATGGGCACCACCCGACTCCGTGCCTCCGCGTACTTCCCGCTGAACATAGCCGCCATGACATCACAGCGGGCCACCAGGACCGCCCGGTGAGCCAGTAACACACTCCCTGAAACACACAGTCTGTTTGTTAATTGAATCCTTATTTTGACCAGGTTACTGAGAATTAGAATCCATTCTCCTTTATACAGTCTCCTTCACAGCAAGACCTCAAGGAAGAGTTGCTGGAGGAGAGGGGTTGAATGGTGGTTCAGGTGAAGAGAGCGCTTTTTCGGTAACCCGTTGCTAATCGTTTCCCTGACATACCCTGGTTATAAGAGGGAAGGTTTTCACAATACAGCTGAGGATAATACCTACAGCAATTGTCTGTTTCTTGTACTTTACTGACAAGCCTCCACATTACAGCTTCACATCAACCAATCACATCTACCGAATTATCTTCTCATACACAGTCTAGGTGCAAGGTGAATTTAATCTAAAACTGTCATAGTTATGAATTGATGCCTTTCAGGAATGGGTCATTTGAATTAACCCAGACCTTATGACCACTATAAAGCATGACATAATGGTTGTCCTGAAGTATTTTCCATCTAATGACAGGCATTGTTACACTTATGAAAGTGCTCTCTACAGTTGGATGCAGCGCAGGTGAAGAACGTGCAGCAAAGTGGATATTTGAAGTGTCAGGAGCATATAAAGAAAAATGTATTTCATTACATGGGTTATTGGAGATGATTGCTAATGCTTGGCGTCACCATGCAAGAGTTTCTCATATTAACAATGTACCGTTACTGCAGCAAAGGAAGTTAAATAAATGAAGGCACACATCTGTAAACATAATATCAGGGTGTCTTTAACATTACTGAGCGTTTATACCCCCAAAAATATAAAATAATTGTACAAAATGACATGAATTGTGCATACATTTCTAAAGGACCTTCTAGCACTGTGGTTATTGTATAGCAAGTGTATGTCATATGAATCGCCCTGAATTATGTTGACGGCATTTTGTCTCTGTGGTGCAGTAATGAAATGGATTGCCTCCCTGAGAGCCCCCAATGAAGGAATCAGCTAATCATGTGTAATAAAAAAAGGTGACCTGGCACTACATTGTGTGTGGTGTGATGTGATGTGTGGTGTGATGTGATGTGTGGTGTGATGTGATGTGTGGTGTGTGATGTGTGGTGTGATGTGTGGTGTGATGTGGTGTGATGTGCGGTGTGATGTGCGGTGTGATGTGTGTGCGAACTTGCCTTGCACCATAAAAATGACATCAGAGTAGAGAGGAGAGTTGAAGAGGTTGACCAGAGACTGAGGACCAAGCTGGGCGGCCCTGGCGTTGGGCGTGTCCCTGGGGCCCTACAAACACACACACATAGATGCGCACATGCATACATACAGGCACAAGTGTGCACACACAAACACATACACAGGAACATGTGTGCACACAAACACAAACACACACACACACAGCATGGGTTAAGTCTGAAAATTCCGCCACTGTTGCTGTTTACTAGCATTAGTGCAATTTCATTCTGAGCTTCCACACCTAGCTCCCCCGTGGCATCGACATAGCCTGTCTAACAGCCTGTCTCAGCAGCAGGTAACTTCACTGTCCCTGGCCTCACTGCCAAGACCGCCTCAATGGAGCTGGCTAATGCTGAAACAGACTGGCAGGCCCGCTCGTTTCCAGAGCAGTCTGCATATCAAAGTCATGGCTTCATTATGCTGCATTTTGTTATAACATCGCATGGATCATTGATTTTCAGCTGCTTAGTCAATTCCAGTGATGGATTGAAACCAAACATATGAAATGCTCCTCGATAAGAACGAGTGCAAAAGTGACACTTCGCTTTTGATGGAATTGAAAAACAATTAACTTAATCCTCGTAACCAGATCTAATTATGACCCTGCATGTCACGTGTCTCTCCTGATGTTAAGTCCCACATCCCATTCCCTTGGCTCAATCTGAGAGTATACTCTATCCCAAATTAATCAGTTAGTGCACTGCTTTTGACCAGAGCCACGTATTGCGCTATATCAGGGATAGGGTGTGTGTGTGCACACGTGCGTGCATGTGTGTGTGTGTGCGCGCACATGCGTTTGTGTGTGTGTATCTGTTCAAGCCTCTGGGTCACCTTGTCTCTGCCCAGGAAGGAGCGGATGCGGTCCATGAGTTGAGCCACGGCCAGAGAGTTGTTCAGCTTCTCCCCCATGGCTTCCTGGAGGTGCTCCCACTCCCACGCCCCTGGATCACACCAGAACCACAGGCACACAAACACTCATGTATACCACAGAAACAGACAGACATATATAAACACTCACATACACTACCGGTCAAAAGTTTTAGAACACCTACTCATTCAAGGGTTTTTCTTTAGTTTTACTATTTTCTACATTGTAGAATAATAGTGAAGACATCAAAACTATGAAATAACACATATGGAATCGTGTAGTAACCAAAAAAAGTGTTAAACAAATCAAATTATATTTTATATTTGAGATTCTTCATATAGCCACCCTTTGCCTTGATGACAGCTTTGCACACTCTTGGCATTCTCTCAACCAGCTTCACCAGGAATGCTTTTCCAACAGTCTTGAAGGAGTTCCCACATATGCTGAGCACTTGTTGGCTGCTTTTCCTTCACTCTGCGGTACGACTCATCCCAAACCATCTCAATTTGGTTGAGGTCGGGGGATTGTGGAGGCCAGGTCATCTGATGCAGCACTCCATCACTCTCCTACTTGGTAAAATAGCCCTTACAAAGCCTGGAGGTATGTTGGGTCATTGTCCTGTTGAAAAACAAATGATAGTCCCACTAAGCCCAAACCAGATGGGATGGCGTATCACTGAAGAATGCTGTGGTAGCCATGCTGGTTAAGTGTTCCTTGAATTCTAAATAAATCACAGACAGTGTCACCAGCAAAGCACCCCCACACCATCACACCTCCTCCTCCATACTTTACGGTGGGAAATACACATGCGGAGATAATCCGTTCACCCACACCGTGTCTCACAAAGACACGGCGGTTGGAACCAAAAATCCAGACCAAAGGACAAATGTCCTCCGGTCTAATGTCCATTGCTCATGTTTCTTGGCCCAAGCAAGTCTCTTCTTCTTATTGGTGTCCTTTAGTAGTGGTTTCTTTGCAGAAATTCGACTGTGAAGGCCTGATTCACACAGTCTCCTCTGAACAGTTGATGTTGAGATGTGTCTGTTACTTGAACTCTGAAGCATTTAATTGGCTGCAATTTCTGATGCTGGTACTCTAATTAACTTATTCTCTGCAGCAGAGGTAACTCTGGGTCTTCCATTCCTGTGGCGGTCCTCATGAGAGCCAGTTTCATCATAGTGCTTGATGGTTTTTGCGACTGCACTTGAAGAAACGTTCAAAGTTCTTGAAATGTTCCGTATTGATTGACCTGCATGTCTTAAAGTAATGATGGACTGTCGTTTCTCTTTGCTTATTTGAGCTGTTATTGCCATAATATGGACTTAGTCTTTTACCAAATAGGGCTATCTTCTGTATACCCCCCCCCACATGATTCCATATGTGTTCTTTCATAGTTTTTATGTCTTCACTATTATTCTACAATGTAGAAAATAGTACAAATAAAGAAAAGTTGGTGGTTGAGGATATCCCTCTAGTGGTGCGGGGGCTGTGCTTTGGCAGAGTGGGTGGGGTTATATCCTTCCTGTTTGGCCCTGTCCGGGGGTTTCTTCGGATGGGGCCACAGTGTCTCCGGACCGCTCCTGTCTCAGCCTCCAGTATTTATGCTGCAGTAGTTTATGTGTCGGGGGGCTGGGGTTAGTTGGTTATACCTGGAGTACTTCTCCTGTCTTATCCAGTGTCCTGTGTGAATTTAAGTATGCTCTCTCTAATTCTCTCGTTCTCTCTTTCTCTCTGAGAACCTGAGCCCTAGGACCATACGTCAGGACTACCGGGCATGCTGACACCTTGCTGTCCCCAGTCCGCCTGGCCTTGCTGCTATTCCAGTTTCAACTGTTCGGCCTGCGGTTATGGAACCCCTACCTGTCCCAGACCTGCTGTTTTCAACTCTTAATGATCGGCTATGAAAAGCCAACTGAGATTTATTCCTGATTATTATTTGACCATGCTTGTCACTTATGAACATTTTTGAACATCTTGGCATGGTTCTGTTATAACCTCCACCCGGCACAGCCAGAAGAGGACTGGCCACCCCTCATAGCCTGGTTCCTCTCTAGGTTTCTTCCTAGGTTTTGGCCTTTCTAGGGAGTTTTTCCTAGCCACCGTGCTTCTACACCTGCATTACTAGCTGTTTGGGGTTTTAGGCTGGGTTTCTGTACAGCACTTCGAGATATTAGCTGATGTACGAAGGGCTATATAAAATAAAATTGAAAATTGATTGAAAAACCCTTGAATGAGTAGGTGTTCTAAAACTTTTGACCAATAGTGTATATATATTTATACCATAGAACCTCTATGATAATCATATATACAGTTGAAGTCGTAAATTTACATACACCTTAGCCAAATACATTTAAACTCAGTTTTTCACAATTCCTGACATTTAGTCCTAGTAAAAATTCCCTGTCTTAGGTCAGCTAGGATCACCACTTTATTTTAAGAATGTGGATGTTGGGCCCTCATACCACCCTCATGGAGTCTGTTTCTACGGCCTCCTCCACGTCTCCTGATGTACTGGCCTGTCTCCTGGTAGCGCCTCCATGCTCTGGACACTACGCTGACAGACACAGCAAATCTTCTTGCCACAGCTCGCATTGATGTGCCATCCTGGATGAGCTGCACTACCTGAGCCACTTGTGTGGGTTGTAGACTCCGTCTCATGCTACCACTAGAGTGAAAGCACCGCCAGCATTCAAAAGTGACCAAAACATCAGCCAGGAAGCATAGGAACTGAGAAGTGGTCTGTGGTCACCACCTGCAGAACCACTTCTTTATTGGGGGTGTCTTGCTAATTGCCTATAATTTCCACCTGTCGTCTATTCCAATTGCACAACAGCATGTGAAATGTATTGTCAATCAGTGTTGCTTCCTAAGTGGACAGTTTGATTTCACAGAAGTGTGACTGACTTGGAGTTACATTGTGTTGTTTAAGTGTTCCCTTTATTTTTTTGAGCAGTGTATAATACTCATATCACAGAAACAGACTCAAATAAACTATATAGACGCTAATACTAATATACGTATAGGCTACAACACAAACACTAAGGGCTCTATTCAATCTGTTTCGCTGAAGCGTTACAGATTGCGGCTAGAAATGTAAAGGTAATTTCTTATCACAGAGCCAAAGTCACTGCTGCTGAGAAAGTGCACTGCACACGCTGAGACATTTCCACTACTCACATTCACAACTGTTACACATTATTTATACATTCAGAGTAGATATTTAACAGAGTTTTTGGAAAACTTGACAGTTGTTTAGTCCCAGGGTCCTTAGCTTAGTGATAAGCTTTGTGGGCACTATGGTGTTGAATGCTGAGCTGTAGACAATGAACAGCATTCTCACATAGGTGTTCCTTTTGTCCAGGTGGGAAAGGGCAGTGTGGAGTGCGATTGAGATTGCGTCATCTGTGGATCTGTTGGGGCGGTATGCGAATTGGAGTGGGTCTAGGATTTCTGGGATGATGGTGTTGATGTGAGCCATAACCAGCCTTTCAAAGCACTTCATGGCTACCGACGTGAACGTTACGGGGCGGTAGTCATTTAGGCAGGTTACCTTCGCTTTCTTGGGCACAGGGAGATTTGTCCGTCAGACTGCCAGATGGTGAAGCATGATTCATCACGCCAGAGAACGCGTTTCCACTGCTCCAGAGTCCAATGGCGGCGAGCTTTACACCACTCCAGCCGATGCTTGGCATTGCGCATGGTGATCTCAGGCTTGTATGCGGCTGCTCGGCCATGAAACCCATTTCATGAAGCTCCCGACGAACAGTTATTGTGCTGACGTTGCTTCCAGAGACAGTTTGGAACTCGGTAGTGAGTGATGCAACTGAGGACAGACCATTTTTACACACTACGTGCTTCAGCACTCAGCGGTCCCATTCTGTGAGCTTGTGTGGCCTACCACTTCGTGGCTGAGCCGTTGTTGCTCCTAGACGTTTCCACTTCACAATAACAGCACTTACAGTTGACTGGGGCAGCTCTAGCAGGGCAGAAACTTGAGGAACTGACTTGTTGGAAAGGTGGCATCCTATGACGGTGCTTCGTTGAAAGTCACTGAGCTCTTCAGTAAGGCCATTCTACTGTCAGTGTTTGTCTGTGGAGATTGCATGGCTGTGTGCTCAGTTTTATACACCTGTCAGCAACGGGTGTGGCTGAAATAGCCAAATCCACTAATTTGAAGGGGTGTCCACATACTTTTGTATATATAGTGTACATGTACATAGTACTTCAATCAATCACCTAACCAAACCTACATGTACATATAACCTCAATCAATCACCCAACTACCTTGTACCCCAGTACACTGACTCGGTACCAGTACTCCTTGTATACAGCCTGTATATAGCCTCATTATTGTTATTTTATTGTGTATTCTATTATTTTACTATATTATTTTTATCTATTTGCTAATTTTCTTTCTTTTTAACTGCATTGTTGGGAAATGGCTCGTAAGTAAGCATTTCACAGTAAAGTATACACTTGTTGTATTCGGCACGTGACAAATAAAATTGTATTTTATTTGAAACACACATAATGGAGACTGCAGATAGTCGTAACAGTAGGTTTCATACAGCGATGGTAAATGATTCATTGTAAAAGAAGACAACATTATCTCACTTAGCTACAGCCTCGCTCTCTATCTCTGCTCCACATGCTTAAAGCAATTGCAACGTAATTTTTTTTCCAGTAACTTTTAAATTGAAGCTTGTTTCAAAGCGAACAGCACTTGAACCAGTCGTTTACCTCGGTAGAGGAACATGAGTGTCTCCCACAGGCACAGGCACAGCAGCGGGTCCTTCACCACCAGGCGTGATATCCGTCCGGCCAGATGCCCATCGGGCCGCGACCCGTCCTCCATGCCCATACCCCCATCCCAGGTGGAGAGCAGTGATGGGGGTCCCATGTCTCCCCGGCCGTCCCCCCGGCAGGCGCAGCGCGAGATGGGTCTCTCACTGGCCTTGGGCCCCAGCAGCAGCTGTCTGAAGTAGGGGCTGACAGCACAGAGCACGGCGGCGTGCCCCCAGCCCAGCTCCTTCCCAGAGTCCCCAGAGTAGAAGGCTACATCGGCAAACTGGACGCCGCGCTCCAGCAGCCACTGTAGGTCCTGAGAGAAGCTGGACTCCTCCACTCGGATGGGGGGAAGACGTGCTGGAGGGATGGAGTGAAGGATGGGTTCAGGGGAGGGGGAGTCAGGGGTGAAAAGGGAAGAGATGAGATGAGTGTCGGAATGAGAGCAAAGAGAGTAAAAGCATAGAGGGAAAATGAGAGTTAGTGTCAACATCATTAAGTATGCGGCTCAGAGAGAGAGATAATGGAGGGAAAGGGGTTGAAAGAGGGGGTGGAAGAACAAAGGATTAATGAGAGAAATATAGAGAGGGAGGGAGAACAGAAAGATCATCAGACAGTTAGTTTAGGGAGTTGGGCGTGGGAATGAGGGATGAGGGAAAAGCAGAGTATTAAGTAGAAGGTAAACAGAGCGAGAGACAGATTAGGGGGTTCCCAGTGTTAAGGTAAATCAATGTCCTATTATAATCCTATTTATGCTTATTCCACGCTGCACCCTTGTGCACCTCATCACTTTTTTTATTGCCACTCAGTTTTGCCCTGGTATACAGGAAAGGTTGTCCAGGAATCAATGCACTTCATATTTAATGGATGTTGCACTACACAGAGAGAGAGTTAAGTAGAGTTGGACGGGCCCCAGGCAAGCCAGCCAGCCCATCCACCCACCTACTTTGGCAGTGCTGCTCTTCACTGTCAATCACCAAGTCAAAGTTCATCAGACATAGTGGCTAAATGGCAAGGATGCTATATTTAGTATGTTTACTGTAGCTTAGCCGTGTGCTCTGTACATGAACACAGATAGGTGTAGTATTTGTACTACACATTTACAGGAATAAACAAACAAAGAATGAACACTATAGGGTGAGGGGCTGATTAACAGATCATTCTAAACTTTGATAAAGCAATGAAAGTTTGTGTTCTATATTGAGAAAAGGAAGCAAATGTCCACTCACAGTTTGCTACTCCCAAAATGTGATCTTCTATTGAAGCTTAAGATACAGCGACAACGTTTCAACAATGTTTCAACCAACATTATATGATCTTCGTCAGGTCACCTGTGTATTGATGTATTATCACTAAGCTTCAGTCGAAAATCCCATTTGGGGGCGGGAAACTCCCAAATAATTTGTTTAACTCCTCTGGCATGTTTGGATGTGCGCAATTGCTCTCTTTTCATAATTCCAAATTAATCTCATGAGCTAAAAATAGTCCTGGTATTCTCATTTCAGATCTCACAGACCTTGAATCCATGCAAAATAAATCCCCCAAAAGTAAGGCATCTATTATATTGGACCAGTTGTAGAAATGTTGTAATTTGACTATTCTGTGTCTACTATACATTTGGTTAAAACACCCAACTGTGTAATTGATTGGTTAAAATGTAGTCGCATACGGTTGGGTGATTATGAGAAGAAATAGTAAAATATAATTCTAAACATCTAGTAGCATGTTTATAACAACAGTAGCATGTGCAGTGAGAACAAGAAAGGGTTGAGAATTAAACCCTGAGGAACACCACAAGTAAAGTTGATATAATAGACACATAGAACTGATTTAAAGGTGCCCCTCTTCTAGTATTACAGTCTCTCACCTGGTTGTTCCAGATGAGGGGGGCGGGGCTCATTCAGCTTGTTGCCCCGCCTCTTTTCTGGACGCTCGTTGGCCTTCTGCTTCAAACATTGAATCATGAAGTACTCCAGCTGAATACATACACAAACACACCCTAGTTAGCATAAACATACACACCAAGATAAAATTGTGACATAATTGAAACACAGCAGGCAGTCCCATTCTTATCTCCACTAGCACTATGGCCAATAACATAACATTCTGCCATCTACATCAGGGATGAGCAAATCCAGTACTCAGGGGCCGGAATGGTGTCACACTGTTTCCTGATCCCTAACAAACACAGATGATTAAACTAATTGCATTCTATACTGAAGATCATATGATTAGTTGATTAATGGAGTCAGGTGTGTTAGCTTTGGCTGGGACAAAGGTGTGACACCAATCAGGCCCCTGAGGACTGGAGTTGCATCCCTGATCTACATCATCAATGATGAATGATAACATAGATTACACACCAGTCATAAATCACACCATCAAACAATGATCCGTTCATAACTGGCAGATGCTGACACTCACCACGCTGCCAAAGTAGCGGCTCACAAAGACATGGTTGAGGGAGGGTAGCTCCAGATAAGTGGCCCCCAGGTCCCTAGAGAGCTGCAGGCCCTCGCTGTGGGGGACACAGCTGCTCCAGTCTGATGCACATAGGGGGCATGTGCAGGGGGGCCCCTCATCTAGACAGTGAGGGGACAGGAGAGGTGAGTGAGACAGGATTAAATATACCTCCTCTAAACGTACACCACAGGAGGCTGCTGAAGGGAGGACGGCTCATAATTATGGCCGGAACAAAGCGAAAGGAATGGCACATGGACACCATGTGTTTGATGTATTTGATACCATTCCACTATTCCACTCCAGCCATTTCCAGAAGCCCGTCCTCCCCAATTAAGGTGCCACCAACCTCCTGTGACGTACACACACTCAGTGCACAAAAACATGGTCTCACCCACAAAACTTCCAGCAGAACATCTCAAAATTATATTTTATCCACCATAGATATAACCACATACTGACATTCAGATAGATTTACAATGCATGCATAGGCATACCCTGCATACGCATTCTGTAGCCTACATGCAGAGAAACCAAGTCAGAAAGCGAGAATATGAAGAAATAATTCAGTATCTATCAGAATCCAAAATGTGTGTACACACAGCAGTGTTCTAGAATATTGGACTGTTCATACTTTTCGAATTCTCAGCGTGGCTCAAGCAATTTCGCCAATCGTCACCCCATTCAAATGAATAGAGGACATGTACGCAGAGGCACGTTGGTTGGGAATTTTGGGGAGGTGTGCGGTTGGGCTTTGAGTCCCCAGCGGATGGTGGTCTCAGAGCCACGCAGCTATGTCACAATGGGACGCCGGATTATCGCGTCTCTGCGTCTGTGGACACTGGATTACGTTTAAGAGGGAAATGTAGGGAGAAGTAAAAAGATGTGGCGAAGGAGCCAGAGAGAGAGACAGAGTGGGGCGGTCTGCTCAGTGCCAAATGCAAGGAATAAATCACTCTGCTAATAAAACTGCAGTCATAGAGAGAAAGGTAGACACTGTCTGTGGTGCGTTTGTGTGTGTGTGTGTGTGTGTGTGTGTGTTTGTTTCCGTGCGTGTGTGTGCTTGCGTGTGTGTGTGTACGGGACATGTGCTGCAATGATTTTGCCCTAGGTCACCTAACCAAGGCAACAGGAAACACAACTGCACACAGCTGTCATCAGCCACATTCATTTGGGGATAGCTTTAGCACAGACAATAAAGCAATGACAAAAAAATACAAAAACATAGTGTCAGATCCACCACTATCCCACAAGCCCCCTCTCTCACCACCAAAGAGTTAACAAATACTATTATCATCTTGCAATGAAGCTCTGGCAAGATCTTAAAGTATCTCACAGAGCTAAAAATAACCCATCATGAATGTGGTGTATTTGTTTACACCACTGAAATAAAAAAGATGGTGACACACAGAAGCACAGACATGATGATGGTTAATACTTTGCTAGTTTAACACCACTGACCTGGGCAATACCAGGTTCACTGTACCACTCAAAGCATGTGTGTGTGTGTGTGTGTGCGTGCGTGTGTGTGTGTCAGGGTTTGGACATTGCCTACTTCTTTCTTGCACTAGATTATGCTTGGTTTGTTTGTTGTTTTAGCCATGAAGACACATTACTTAAATGCAAAAGCCTGGGGCCTGTTTGAGATGTAATCATAAAATGAGAATCATCCTCTTAACTGAAAAGACAAATCCACTCCTTCAGCCATTTCCTCTGCTCCTACAGTATGTAATGTAGTCATATTTCCAAAAGACACAAAATGCTAAAGATTAGATTTTTGGATTATATTAGTTGAGTTTCAGTTTATTGCATCGTAACAGAGTTATGTCAGATGGCATTAACATGGTTGGAAGCCATAACCTATTATGACTGGTGTGAGAAGCCTCATATCCAATCAATGTCAGTGTTTCTATAAGTGCTATGAGGCAACCATTGACTGCAGTGGATTGTAAGACTGCCGAGCAAAACTTCCCCACTCGACTCATTATACAAAATGTCATCTTTATTTAACCATACAAAATGTCATCTTTATTTAACCAGGCAGGTCAATGATGATGACCTGGCATGTGGTAAGTACACGGCAATACAAATTACAGCACAAGCAGACAACACTTCACAACAGGACAAAATGGTGTTGTGGTCAAGGATAGACCAATGTTATCTCACCATTTAGGCGGGCGCCCACGGCAACCAGAATGACAGGCATGCCCCAGTGGTGTAGGAGGGGGCGGAGTCTAGGGGCGTATCCGTTGCGCACTTGCTGGAAGGCCAGCTTGTCGTTGACCGAGTACTTGATGACCAGGATGTCAGCCTGTTCTAGAACGCTCCGCACGCCAGTCCAGTCACTGTCCAACAGATCCTGTCCACACACACACACCAATCTCATTAGGAATGCATGAACATTACAGGGGCCATTTCCCGGACCCAGATTAAGCCTCATCCTGGACTAAAAATAAATGCAAATTGAGACTCGCTATCAGACCTGGGTTCAAGTACTATTTAGTTGTGCTTGATTCAGTTTGCCTGTCTTAAAGGAACCAATAGAGTGGCCTCAAAAAGTTATACCCCACCCATCTGGTACTCCAGGCAGGCTAAAGCCAACGCTCACATATTTAAGAGATTTCAAATAGTATTTGAACCCAGGTCTGGCCTAAACCAAACAGGCCCTAAAGGTTTTATACCGGAAAAAGATTGAAAATAGTAAAAGTAGCTGTGGTATGCTAAATTACATACTATCTCATCTACGCCCTCAGAGAAGAAGTGGTTAGATTTGTTACACTGCCCTTGCTGAAAACCGTTTTGGAATTCAAAATGCGGTTGCATCTCAAGAACACGTGTCAAAATCAAGCTAGCCGGGTAAACAAACACCAACGGTGGCTTGCAGAGTGACTCACTAACTCCTTTATGATGACAATGGTCTTGGGACAAAACAAAGGCCTTTCTTCCCTGCCTGCTTATTGGACTGGCTTGGCCCCTGATAACCTCCGTCTGTCTCCACTAATCAAATCTATCCTGAAAGGGAAAAGATTAGCCACCGTTGTGGAGAAGACAAAGCTCAGCTTATTTCCAGCCATTCTACACATTTTGTCATGGGGTGCAGAGAACATTTTGCAGTTTTAAAACTAATCTATACATTTTACCATGTCTAATGTGTATTCATGTGATATTTGAGTGACTTGAACATTACTACAAAATCTATGGGCTACAAAACCTAGCAAAAAAACGTAGCTGACATGGCCTAGTTAAATTTAAAAAATGTTTTAGTAATTTAGCAGACGCTCTTATCCAGAGCGACTTACATGAGCAATTAGGGTTAAGTGCCTTGCTTAAGGGCACATCGACAGATTTTTCACCTAGCACAACGCTCTTACCCACTAAGCTACCTGCCGCCCTAGTTGATCTGGATATTTCTGACAAGTTGTAAATAGCTCTCTAAGGTGCTTCATTCTATAGGACACCTGATATCTCCAGGAGTGATAAGTATATTTTCTGTCTTTATCTGTGGTTGTTTAGTACTGTCTTTTTGCTAGCTAGGGCCATCTACTTTAAGTGCTGCCTGTCTTCCCAGTAGCCTACTTGGTGTGTGAACTGCTGAAGGCTCATAACTTGCAGATGATTGTTGACACATCAACCAAGATTAAGGGGTAGTGCAATTTGTTACTTGTTTTGGTAACCAGTTGCTGTATTGGAGGGGGAGTGGTTTCTCCTCTCCTAGGCAATCAGCAATTAGTACAGGGAGGTGTGCTCTTCACCTCTGCTAGGCAATTAGCAATTAGTGTTAGTAATTCAGTCTGGTTTCTCAGCAGCAGGTGTAAGTGGTGGTCTCGTCGGCAAAACAAAGACTGTTCAAGTGGAGTTATTTGAGGAAGGAAAGAGAGGAAGGCTCCACACCACTCTCTCACTTATCTTACCTAGTTACACTACATGACCAAAAGTATGTGGACACCTGCTTGTCGAACATCTCATTCCAAAATCATGGGCATTAATATGGAGTTGGTCCCCCCTTTGCTGCTATAACAGCCTCCACTCTTCTGGGAAGGCTTTCCACTAGATGTTGGAACATTAATGCAGGAACTTGCTTCCATTCAGCCGCAAGAGCATTAGTGAGGTTGGGCACTGATGTTGGGCGATTAGGCCTGGCTCGCAGTCTGCGTTACAATTCATTCCAAAGGAGTTTGATGGGATTGAGGTCAGGGCTCTGTGCAGGCCAGTCAAGTTCTTCCACACCGATCTAGACAAACCATTTCTGTTTGGACCTCGCTTTGTGCACGGGGGCATTGTCATGCTGAAACAGGAAAGGACCTTCCCCAAACTGTTGCCACAAAGTTGGAAGCACAGAATTGTCTAGAATTTCATTGTATGCTGTAGCGTTAAGATTTCCGTTCACTGGAACTAAGGGCCTAGACCGAACCATGAAAAACAGCTCCAGACCATTATTCCTCCTCCACCAAACTTTACAGTTGGCACTAAGCATTCGGTGTTGTCTTGGCATCCGCCAAACCCAGATTAGTCCGTCGGACTGCCAGATGGTGAAGCGTGATTCATCACTCCAGATAATTAATTTCCACTGCTCCAGAGTCCAATGGCGGTGAGCTTTACACCACTCCAGCCGACGCTTGGCATTGTGCATGGTGATCTTAGGCTTGTGTGCGGCAGCTCGGCCATGGAAACCCATTTCATGAAGCTCCCGACGAACAGGTATTGTGCTGACGTTGCTGCCAGAGGAAGTTTGGAACTCGGTAGTGAGTGTTGCAACCGAGTATAGACGATTTTTACGTGCTACGCACTTCAGCACTCGGCGGTCCCGTTCTGTGAGCTTGTGTGGCATACCACTTTGTGGCTGAGCTGTTGTTGCTCCTAGACGTTTCCACTTCACAATAAGCGGGCAGCACAAATTTGAAGAACTGACTTGATGTAAAGGTGGCATCCTATGACGGTGCCACGTTGAAAGTCACTGAGCTCTTCAGTACGGGCCATTCTACTGCCAATGTTTGTCTATGGAGATAGCATGGCTGTGTGCTCGATTTTATACACCTGTTAGCATTGGGTGTGGCTGAAATACCCGAATCCACTAATTTGAAGGGGTGTCCACATACTTTTGTGTATATATAGTGTATTTTCTGATGATCTCCTTTTGCTCTTTTGTGGCTTTGTCAACTATGTGTATTTTCTCTATACCTGTTCGCTCCTCTCCCTGTAGGCTTTACAGACGCTCCCCAGCCCTTGGCTGCAACCCTTCTATACTTAACAAAAATATAAACACAACATGCAACAATTTCTAAGATTTTACTGAGTTACAGTTCATATGAGGAATTCAGTCAATTGAAATCAATTCTTTAGGCCCTAATCTAAGAATTTCATATGACTGGGAATACAGATATGCACCTGTTGGTCACAATGAGCCTCTGTGCATTCAAATTGCCATCGATAAAATGCAATTGTGTTCGTTGTCCGTAGATTATGCCTGCCCATACCATAACCACACCGGCACCATGGGGCACTCTGTTCACAACGTTGACATCAGCAAACCGCTCGCTCCCAGACGACGCCATACACGTGGTCTGCGGTTGTGAGGCGGCCAAATTCTCTAAAACGACGTTGTAGGTGGCATATAGTAGAGAAACTAACGTTCAATTTTCTGGCAACAGCTCTGGTGGACATTCCTGCAGTCAGCATGCCAATTGCATGCTCCCTCAACTTGAAACATCTGTGGCATTGTGTTGTGTGACAAAACTGCACATTTTAGAGTGGCCTTTTATTGACCCCAGCACAAGGTGCACCTGTGTAATGACCATGCTGTTTAATCAGCTTCTTGATATGCCGCACCTGTCAGGTGGATGGATTATCTTGGCAAAGGAGAAATGCTCACTAACACGGATGTAAACAATTTGTGCACAAAATTTGAGAGAAATAAGCTTTCTGTGCATATGGAACATTTCTGGGATCTTTTATTTCAGCTCATGAAACATGGGACCAACACTTTACATGTTGCGTTTATATTTTAGTTCAGTGTAAATTTAGTGTACCCTGTGCGCACAACCCATGTGGAGTTCTGGGTCTTTGGCAGTGTTTGGAACTGCCGATCTGCAGTCAAGAACGCAGAGTTCATCTCAGCCTATGCTGCCCTCCAGTCCCTTGACTTTTTGGCCCTGACGGAGACATGGATGATCCCAGAGAACACTGCTACTCCAGCTGCTCTCTCTTCATCCGACTACGTTTTCTCTCATAGACCAAGAGCATCTGGTCGTCGCGGTGGTGGCACAGGATTACTAATTTCTCCAACTGGACATTTTCTATTTTCTCCCTCTCTCACCTGTCCATCTCCTCATTTGAATTCCATGCTGTCACTGTCACTTGTCCACTCAAGTTTAACATTGTTGTAATCTATGTAATCTGTGCCCTTGGAGAGTTCCTCAATGAGCTTGACACCTTGATAAACTAATTTCCTAACGATGGCTCTTCGTACTTGAAGACATCAACCTCACAACGTTTCCCAATTTCTTTCCAACTCTCTCTTTGCCCTCCTTGCCTCTTTTGATCTCAGCCTTTCCCAATCCCCTCCAACTCACAAAGCAGGCAATACGCTTGACCTCATCTTTACTAGAGTCTGTTCTCCTACTAATCTCACTGCAACCCCCCTCCAGGTCTCTGATCACTACTTTGTTTCCATTTCTGTCTCCCTTTCTCCAACCCTAGCCACTCAGCCTCTACCCAGATGGTCATGCGCCGTCACAATCTTCGCTCTCTCTCTCCCACTACTCTCTCCTCTTCTCTCCTATCAACTCTCCCTTCTGCTAAATCCTTCTCCCTCCTGTCTCCGGATTCTGCCTCTTCGACCCTACTCTCCTCCCTTTCCGCATCCTATGACTCGCACTGTCCCCTTTCCTCCCGGCCGGCTCGGCCCTCTCCTCCTGCTCCATGGTTGAGTGACTCATTGCGCGCTTACAGGACAAGGCTGCGGGCAGCTGAGCGAAAATTTAGGAAAACTAAACTTCCAGAGGACCAATCATATTTTCCCTCCCTCCTCTCTACCTTCTCTTCCTATGTATCTGCTGCTAAAGCCACTTTCTATCACTCTAAATGTCAAGGTTCTGCCTCTAACCCTAGGAAACTATTTTCTACCTTCTCCTCCCTCCTTAATCCTCCACCCCCTCCCTCCTCCCTCTTTGTGGACGACTTTGTCATCCACTTTGAAAAGAAGGTTGACGACATCCGCTCCTCATTCACTCAGCCTATTGAGTCCACTGGTCCCAGTCACACAGAACTACCGTACGCCTTGATCTCTTTCTGCCCTCTCTCTCCAGACGAAATCCTGTGACTGGTGAGGTCTGGCCGCCCGACAATCTGCCCGCTCGACCCCAACCCCCCTTCCTTCTACAGACCATCTATGGAGATCTTCTCACTTCCCTCATCAACTCATCCCTGACCACTGGCTGCATCCCCTCTTACACTGGCTGCATCCCCTCTGGCCCGAGTCACTCCCCTCCTCAAGTAACCAACAGTCGACTCATCTGACGTCAAAAACTATAGACATGTATCCCTTCTTTCTTTTCTTTCCAAAACACTTGAGCGTGCTGTCTCTGATCAACTCTCTCGTTATCGCTCTCAGAATGATATTCTTGACCCTAACCAGTCAGGCTTCAAAACGGGTCACACAACCGAGACTGCTCTTCTCTGTGTCACAGAGTCTCTCCTCACTGCCAAAGCTGACGCTCTGTCCTCATCCTCCTAGATCTATCCGCTGCCTTCGACACTGTGGACCATCAGATCCTCCTCTCCACCCTCTCATGGCTGGGCGTCTCAGGCTCTGTACACTCTTCGATTGCATCCTACCTGGCAGGCCGCTCCTACCAGGTGACGTGGAGAGGATCTGTGTCTGCACCACGTACTCTCACTACTGGTGTCCCCCAGGGCTCGGTTCTAGGCCCTCTCCTCTTCTCTCTATACACCAAGTCACTCGGCTCCGTCATATCCTCACGTGGTCTCTCCTATCATTGCTATGCAGATGACACTCAACTACTTTTCTCCTTCCCCCCTTCTGACACCCAGGTGGAGATACGCATCTCTGCGTGCCTGGCAGATATCTCAGCTTGGATGTTAGCCCACCACCTCAAGCTCAACCTTGACAAAATGGAGCTGCTCTTCCTCCCAGGGAAGGCCTGCCTGCTCAAAGACTTCTCCATCACAGTTGCCAACTCCACAGTGTCGCCCTTCCAGAGTGCAAAGAACCTTGGCGTGACCCTGGACAACACCCTGTCGTTCTCTTCAAACATCAAAGCAGTGACTCACTGCTGCAGGTTCATGCTCTACAACATCCGTAGAGTACGACCCTACCTCACACAGGAAGTGGTGCAGTTCCTAATCCAGGCACTTGTCATCTCCGGTCTGGACTTCTGCCACTCGCTGTTGGCTGGGCTCCCCGCTTGTGCCATCAAACCCCTGCAATTTATCCAGAACACAGCAGCCCACCTGCTTTTCAACCTTCCCAAGTTCTCCCATGTCACCCCGCTCCTCCTCACACTCCACTGGCTTCCAGTTGAAGCTTGCATCCAATACAAGACTATGGTGCTTGCCTATGGAGCAGCAACTGCCTCTACACCCTCAAACCCTATATCCCAACCCGAGGACTCCGTTCTGCGACCTCTGGTCTCTTGGCCCTCCCACCCCTATGGGAGGGCAGCTCCCACTCAGCCCAGTCCATGCTCTTCTCTGTCCTGGCACCCCAATGGTGGAACCAGCTGTCATGTGTACCAACAGTGTATCATTCAGACTGTGTGGTGTGTATCAACAGTGTATCATTCAGACTGTGTGGTGTGTATCGTATCGCTCAGACTGTGTGGTGTGTATCGTATCGCTCAGACTGTGTGGTGTGTATCGTATTGTTCAGACTGTGTGGTGTGTATCGTATCACTCAGACTGTGTGGTGTGTATCGTATCACTCCGACTGTGTGGTGTGTATCATATCGTTCAGACTGTGTGGTGTGTATCGTATCGTTCAGACTGTGGTGCGTATCCTATTGTAGGTTTGGAGTATGGTTAGTTTCATTTGGCTGGACGCCATCTTTTCCAGACGACAGAGTGAGGTAATAATAATTTAAACCCACTAAACACAACATGAGGTATTGACTGAATAGAAGGTTTGACATATTCCTGAGCCAACACTTGCACTTGACTCTTCCACCCCCCTCTAGCTCTGACTTTGCTGATAGCTACTTTATTGAGGAAAAGTGTACTTAATATGCCTGTGATATGTGGTTGTCCCACCTAGCTATTTTAAGATGAACGCACTAACTGTAAGTCGCTCTGGATAAGAGTGTCTACTAAATGACTAAAATGCAAATGACAAGAGAAAAACTGATGACGCACTACCCAATTTCGAAAAATTGCACCTTGTGCATTCTACTATTACAATTTTCAAGAGTAAGTTGAAAGCCATAATGAGTTCCTTTAAAAAAAAAAAAGGGGGGGGGGGGGGGGGGAGGACAACATTTATTAGGATGTCCTTGTCTTCCTACTTGTCTGTTTTAACTCTCAATCCTTTCTTATCACCATACAGAACTGTGCACGTCGTTTGGTCTCACTTGCATCACTCTCTAACCCTCTTTCTTGTACTGCCCCTTTTCCAGCCTCCCTTCCCTTTACTCTATCACAGCCCCCCACACACTCACCCACCCTAACAGCTCCAGGGCCAAACCTACATAACAACCCTGTGACTCACCACACACACACACACACACACACACCCAGCTAGGGCAGTCCTGCACCACCACAGTGACGTCTCCGAACACACGGGATGTGTACTCCATGAAGGCCGGGTTGGACAGACTGCTCTCCTCAGGTCCTCCAGCCACGGCTCCATGGCCCAAGTAGCTCCACAGCAGGCCCCCCTGGAGCTGGCCCTGACCCATGGCCTCTTCCCCGGGCCCCACTCCCCCGGGGGACTCGCTGCCCAGCGCAACAATATGAATGGACCTGTAAGCAAAGCACACCAGAGGGGGAAACCGTGAAAGTCAGACCCATTAGGAACCAGACAAGCAGAGATGACCTGACAGATAGGGTTTGCAGCCTGGTACACCATGGGGGTGAATGTGATGTATCTCTCAAATGCATTGATGTATGCAGCAAAGGAGGGAATGTAATTTAGGGGGAAAGTGTGGTGAACGTGTCTCTAATGCTGTGCCTGTGAGGGATGCAGCAAGGAGGGAATTAAGAAGTGCATTTTTCCCCTTATTATACATGTCTATCACGGAGACAATGCATCACATTGTGTCATTGAGCGAATGACACTGACAGGCGATGCTCCATCTGAATTTTTTAGATGAGAAAATAATTGGAGGAGAATTCCATTATTATTATTATTATTATTATTATTATAAATATTATTATTATTATCATTGGGCAATTATCCTATAGCCTATTTTTTTTTGGGGAAAAAGTGTGGTGCAAGCACATAAATGCGAGGGGAATGCATCCTTTGCATCATTTCAGGAGGTACAGAGAGCAACTTACATGGTCACCACGGTTTTCCGCTGGTCAATGCCTCTTGAGCACGTTCTCCCCCAATGCGTTTTCACATGAGTCCGCAGTGAAAGGCTTTTCCGCAATGAGTCTCGGGTACAGGGACGCTAATCCCTCATATCGGTGGCTCGCTCCCCACGATCACGTTTGGATAGTTGTATTTCCTTCTCGTTTTTCATTCATAAAGCAAAACCTCCTACAGTTTAAGGTATTGTCCGGTCCGCATAGAGACGCTGCGTCCTGGCAGGCAATAATGTAAACATGGACTACCAATGCGCTAAAAAAAGAAACAAGTTGTAAATCGGTAAAAAAAAAAAATAGGCGGAGAAAGCAGAACCGGAGGATCATACCACCGCTCGATCCAATGAAAATTGACGTCACCTTATTCAACAAAGTCCCCTGGGCAGATGAAGAAAAGTGGGGAGATAATGTACAGAGAGAGACTGAGCGCAAGAGAGGGGAAGGGAGAAGAGACTGGGAAAGAGCAACAGACCGTGCTGCTGGAGAGAGTGGACGCGCCTGACTCAGCAACAAACATTAGACACACACATAGAGTACGTGCACACACATACACACACGACAACAGCAGCACACATCCACAAATGACGCGCAGCGCAAATTGCATTGTTTTTGTGGTCCTCTTAATTGATAGAGCATGGCGCTTGTAACGCCAGGGTAGTGGGTTCGATCCCCGGGACCACCCATACGTAAAAAGGTATACGCACATGACTGTAAGTCGCTTTGGATAAAAGCGTCTGCTAAATGGCATATTATTATTATTATTATTTATGTCCACTCATTTCGCGGCCCGCTCAACACAACCCACTGTTTTCTCCATAGTCTGTAAAAAAAAAAAAAATTAAAACTCGCCCGTTGGTTGACCTAATCTTATGTATTCTGATTATTCCAGCTGATAATAATGAATGCAAGGGATGGAGTTTCCCAACATGGTCTTAGATTTGCATTATTCAGTGGCTGTGAACACAAATGAATCCAACAACAGAAGCTAAATTAGGAGGGATTATCGTCAAAACATGGCACATCGACAAAATGACAAACACTGGACCACTCTATTCTCACTATAATAATATAGTGATTGCAAGATAATCGTCCATTCCAACATTGCGCCTCTCAGCAATCTATGATCATGTATAATGTTTAAGACTAATTTACTCTCCCAATCAATGTATGGAATTGACTTGCAATACCCGAAGTCGTGACATGATCGCCAATAGGGCCTATACACCAAGACACCATGCGCACACCGAGACACTGTGCCTTATGCAATGATAATGACGTGATAATGGCATGGTAATGGTATGATAATGAAGCAGTGTTGAAGCTGGTTTATATGCTAATTAGGCTTGAGTCTATGGAATTATTAGTATTGATTGATGCAGTGTCATACTGTAGTCACTTTTAATGAGTTATGTGTGGTAGGTAAAGTCCCCTTTGGACAAACCCCAGGATCTTAAGGGGGTTGTTCACTCTTGGGGACAGACTTGAAGACAAATCAAATCAAATTGTATTTGTCACATGCGCCGAATACAACAGGTGTAGACCTTACCATGAAATGCTTACAGGCCCTTAACCAACAATGCAGTTCAAGAAATAGAGTTAAGAAAATATTTACTAAATAAACTAAAACATTTAATAAAAAGGAACACAATAAAATAACAATAACGAGGCTATATACAGGGTATACAGGGGGTAATTTGTACATGTACAGTGAGGGAAAAAAGTATTTGATCCCCTGCTGGTTTTGTACGTTTGCCCACTGACAAAGACATGATCAGTCTATAATTTTAATGGTAGGTTTATTTGAACAGTGAGAGACAGAATAACAACAAAAAAATCCAGAAAAACGCATGTCAAAAATGTTATAAATTGATTTGCATTTTAATGAGGGAAATAAGTATTTGACCCCTCTGCAAAACATGACTTAGTACTTGGTGGCAAAACCCTTGTTGGCAATCACAGAGGTCAGACGTTTCTTGTAGTTGGCCACCAGGTTTGCACACATCTCAGGAGGGATTTTGTCCCACTCCTCTTTGCAGATCTTCTCCAAGTCATTAAGGTTTTGAGCCTGACGTTTGGCAACTCGAACCTTCAGCTCCCTCCACAGATTTTCTATGGGATTAAGGTCTGGAGACTGGCTAGGCCACTCCAGGACCTTAATGTGCTTCTTCTTGAGCCACTCCTTTGTTGCCTTGGCCGTATGTTTTGGGTCATTGTCATGCTGGAATACCCATCCACGACCCATTTTCAATGCCCTGGCTGAGGGAAGGAAGTTCTCACCCAAGATTTGACGGTACATGGCGCCGTCCATCATCCCTTTGATGCGGTGAAGTTGTCCTGTCCCCTTAGCAGAAAAACACCCCCAAAGCATAATGTTTCCACCTCCATGTTTGACGGTGGGGATGGTGTTCTTGGGGTCATAGGCAGCATTCCTCCTCCTCCAAACACGGCGAGTTGAGTTTATGCCAAAGAGCTCGATTTTGGTCTCATCTGACCACAACACTTTCACCCAGTTCTCCTCTGAATCATTCAGATGTTCATTGGCAAACTTCAGACGGCCCTGTATATGTGCTTTCTTGAGCAGGGGGACCTTGCGGGCACTGCAGGATTTCAGTCCTTCACGGCGTAGTGTGTTACCAATTGTTTTCTTGGTGACTATGGTCCCAGCTGCCTTGAGATCATTGACAAGATCCTCCCGTGTAGTTCTCTTCTCATTCCTGACAACTTCCGTCTCGCTTCCGCATTGTCTCCGTGCTGCTGTGCTGTTTGTTGCTACTTGGCTACCTGCCAAACTATTCACGTTTTACTTTTAATAAACGTTTAATCAATCTCTGTGTTCAACAAATTTACCAACCTTTTAGTTTTGTCCTCACTTATCTTTTTTCGTTAAACTTTTTCACCCCGGACGTTTTATCCCGAGACAGAAGAGTCATTTTCCTGTGCGTTTTTGCTGCCAACTTTACTTTATTTTCCTTTTTTCCATCGCAACTTTTTTCCCTCATTCAACTTTTTCACTCCGGACGCTTTATCTGGACATGGTTCGTCAACATCTTCAACAGCCGAAGCTAAGTAGTAACATTAACATGATGTCTTCTAATTGCAGTCGCTGTACTCATAATATACAGGAGAACGATCGCCTTACGGCGAGATTAGCTGTGCTACAAGCCCAGCTTCAGACGCAATCGTTAGGCAAGGGTAATTTCAGTGTAGGAAAGGAAGAAACAGCGTCTGTGCCACCAGTAAGTACAGATAGTAACGTTAGTATAAATCCCCCCGCACAGTCCCCGCAGCCGGACAACTTTCTCATGGCTTCTGGAGGGAAATACCGTTGGAATGCTCAACCGGTGTCGCTCATTCAGCCGACAGAAACTTTCAACCGGTTTTCCCCATTATGTAGCGAGTCGGAGTCTGAGTCTGAGTCTTCTCTTGTCTCTACTCCTCCCGTTACGGGGTCTGAGACGCCGAAGGCTCCCACCATTAGCTCTGACAAATTGAAAACCCTAGTCATTGGCGACTCCATTACCCGCAGTATTAGACTTAAAACGAATCACCCAGCGATCATACACTGTTTACCAGGGGGCAGGGCTACCGACGTTAAGGCTAATCTAAAGATGGTGCTGGCTAAAGCTAAAACTGGCGAGTGTAGAGAGTATAGAGATATTGTTATCCACGTCGGCACCAACGATGTTAGGATGAAACAGTCAGAGGTCACCAAGTGCAACATAGCTTCAGCGTGTAAATCAGCTAGAAAGATGTGTCTGCATCGAGTAATTGTCTCTGGCCCCCTCCCAGTTAGGGGGAGTGACGAGCTCTACAGCAGAGTCTCAGCACTCAATCGCTGGTTGAAAACTGTTTTCTGCCCCTCCCAAAAGATAGAATTTGTAGATAATTGGCCCTCTTTCTGGGACTCACCCACAAACAGGACCAAGCCTGACCTGCTAAGGAGTGACGGACTCCATCCTAGCTGGAGGGGTGCTCTCATCTTATCTACCAACATAGATAGGGCTCTAACTCCTCTAGCCCCACAGTGAAATAGGGTGCAGGCCAGGCAGCAGGCTGTTAGCAAACCTGCCAGCTTAGTGGAGTCTGCCAATAGCACAGTCAGTGTAGTCAGCTCAGCCATACCCATTGAGACTGTGTCTGTGCCTCGACCTAGGTTGGGCAAAACTAAACATGACGGTGTTCGCCCTAGCAATCTTATTAGGATAAAGACCTCCTCCATTCCTGCCATTATTGAAAGAGATCGTGATACCTCACATCTCAAAATAGGGTTACTTAATGTTAGATCCCTCACTTCAAAGGCAGTCATAGTCAATGAACTAATCACTGATCATAATCTTGATGTGATTGGCCTGACTGAAACATGGCTTAAGCCTGATGAATTTGCTGTGTTAAATGAGGCCTCACCTCCTGGTTACACTAGTGACCATATTCCCCGTGCATCCCGCAAAGGCGGAGCTGTTGCTAACATTTACGATAGCAAATTTCAATTTACAAAAAAAAAAATGGCGTTTTCGTCTTTTGAGCTTCTAGTCATGAAATCTATGCAGCCTACTCAATCACTTTTTATAGCTACTGTTTACAGGCCTCCTGGGCCATATACAGCATTCCTCTCTGAGTTTCCTGAATTCCTATCAGACCTTGTAGTCATAGCAGATCATATTCTAATTTTTGGTGATTTTAATATTCACATGGAGAAGTCCACAGACCCACTCCAAAAGTCTTTCGGAGCCATCATCGACTCAGTGGGTTTTGTCCAACATGTCTCT